GCTACAATGTTTTTTCTGAAGGCCTCTGACAGCTCTTTTGCTCTCACCATGGTGCTCACTCTCACTTCAACAGTCAGGAGCACACCAAACTAAATGTTTGAGGTTTAGATGGGGCAAGCCTCATTCAAAATGCTGAGTAACGATCTACTAATTATGTGCACCTGGTGTGATATACCTGTGTGTGATTTGAGCCATTTTAAGAGGGCATACATGTGAGGGTGTGCTAACTTTTTCCTCAGTTGGAATAGGCATTTTTGTAGAATTACATTTACAGAAGATCTTGAAAAGACTTTTCTTCAGTTTTACTTGTTTAGTTGTATTACTTTAATCTCTCTGTATTGTTAAAATTGAGATTAAATAACCATATATTAAAACATGTTACAAAATACACATGCTTTCAAAGGGTGTCCTAATTTTTTCACATGACTGTATATCACCTTTTTACAAATGATCCCCCGACACTTGCTAGTGACAAAAGTAATGACTGAAAGAGAAATGCTGACAATCTTCATGTAAAGTAACCAAAAGTAATCTTGACTTAGGCAGAAACCTGTGTCCATATACAGCAGGAGCCCATTGTTCATAGTAAGAACTTCATAGAGAAAATATGTTTTCATGTCTCTAAAGCAAGATTATTTATCTTTGGAGAGAGGAAATATTACATTCCTCTATAATCTATAAGCAATAAAATGTACACTTTCTCAATTAAGTACACTAAACACTTTTGCTGCTACAACTTTATTTGGTCTGGCGTGACCGGTAGTTTACAGTAGCCATTGGTACTGGACTTTATTAAATGCTAACAGTGATTATTGTCTCCTGATAGAAAATGGTTATGTTCAGAAGGCTGTCAATTATGCTGGAGAGATGTTCATAATCGAGGAGATTAAACTGTACAAAAACCCAGAGCCTATCAGCATCCTGCGCCTGTTATCCAGCAAGGTAACTTATAACATGCCCAGTGTTGTTTGTTAGTATACTTTTTAGCTCATCATCATTGCCAGTGACAGTCAGCTAGTTTCTTCACTCAGTTTGTCCTGGCTTATATTGTATAATAAGATGCATTCTAAATTTGTATCTCAGTTTAAATGTCACCACATAATAGCCACAACCATGTGATACAGAGGCTTCAGTGGTAATAAAGTTGACACGCTGTGGTTTGTTCATGTGTGTGTATGTGTGCTTGCATGCAATTCTAGGGCCAACTGTATGCAGGTTCAGATTTTGCTGCTGTCCAGATGCCAGTCAGTAACTGCAGCTGCTATGACACTTGTGTGGACTGTATCCTGGCCCGGGATCCTTACTGTGCCTGGGATCGCTCCACTGGGCAGTGCTCCTCAGTTCACAACTTGTCCCTCTCCTCAAATACTGCAGTACAGAGTCTGATTGAGGGAGACATCTCACAATGTCCCCCGCCAGGTCCATTAATTTACACTACATTGCATTGTACTACATTGTATGAGATAGTGTTATTTACAAGTATGCAGAGAGACCAACCTTGTGTTTGTGTGTGTGTGTTTCAGATCCAGTAACAGCTGTGAACTTTATCCTTGTTCCAGAGAACAACATCCAGTTGCCTTGCCAGCTCCGCTCCAACTTGGCACAGGTCCTCTGGCGTTTCTCGGGTCAAGAACTTCACTCTAATCACAAATACTACATCAACAGCAGAGGCCTCCTCATCTTGAGTGCCTCTGAATCAGACACTGGCCGGTACACCTGTGAAGCAGTAGAACAGATAAATGGCAGAACTTACACCCAGACTGTAGCGGTTTATCATTTACAGCTGTATTCTGGCCCAGCAGTGGGGGACAGCACCACTCCTGGCAATGAGGTGATAAATTCCTCAGTCTCTCCTCACAATGTGAATACAGCTGCACCAGAGCTGGTGCCAACTCAGGGTAATGAGGACCTGCTGTCCCCTGAGACTCAAAGTGACACCGCCAGGGTAACTCATTTAGAGGTGGCTGTGGCCCTACTGACGCTGCTTTGTGTCTCCCTGATGGGGGTCATATTTTGGATCTGGAGCCGAGGGCGCTGGGAGTGCTTCAGGTTTGCACAGCGCTCTGGCGAAAATGAGGGGAGGAGGCAGTCAGCTGAATATATGCACATCCCGAACAGAACTTCAGAGATAAAGTTCTTGGGGCCTGAGGGCGGAAGACCTTGCAGTGCCAATAATAACCACCCTACTGTTGACTTCAAAGGAAATGGGGAGCATCACTTCATACCTATGGCCAACATTTCAAGTCTGGAAGGTCTGGGATACATAAATGACGAGTCAGAGATTTGACTGTGCTCAGGTATAGACTTCAGTCAGAGGCCAACACCAGAGCTCTAATTATCTTCCTATAGGTGTACTTCTTACAAGACAGACTTCTTACAGAAGAGTTTTATATTATAAAACCCTTGATTGGTGTCTTGTTTTCCGACCCTGCCTGTCATTTCCATACTGTGATCGAGTTCAGTGAAAAGATTCTTTTTTTTTTTTAGGATGGTGGAATTTTCACACCTGAAAACAGTTAAAAAGTAGTTTTATAAATGTAATTTTTGTATGACAACTTGGGAATGCATTTTGTGTAATATATTGTACAGTCAATACTTTTTTTTCAACTATTTATTTTTCACAATAAAATTTTTATTTCATCTTAAAACACTTGTAATCTACAGCAAGTCTTGTAAATATTTATTTAATCAGAAGTAATCCTATTGAGGTTGGAAACCTCATTTTACAGGGGAACCCTGGCCAAAATTGCAGTCATAAGCCTTCGCCTACGTCGATGCATGTGATGGAGCATTGTCCTGCATTAAAATCATGGTCTTCTTGAAAGATTGAGACTTTTTCCTGTACCATTGCTTGAAGAAAGTGTTTGAAGAAACTGACAGTAGGTTTGGGAGTTGATTTTGAGTCCATCTTCAACCCAGAAAGGACCAACTAGCTCATCTTTAATAATACCAGCCTATACCAGTACCTTGTCTCCACCTCGCTGGCATCTGATTCGAAGTGGAGCTCTGTGCCCGTTACTGATCCATCTAGTCCATCAAGAGTCACTCTCATCTCATCAGTCCATAAAACCTTTGAAAAATCTGTCTTCAGATATTTCTTGGCCCAGTCTTGATGTTTCAACTTCTGTGTCTTGTTCAGTGGTGGTCGGGTTTCAGCCTTCCTTACCTTAGCCATGTCTCTGACCACTGAACACCTTGTACTTGCAGTTCTGGAATATGACAGCACTGGAGGATAATGGGATCCTGGTATCTTCACGTTCGATTCTTCTCAAATCTTTGGCAGTTAATTTGTGCCTTTTTTTCTGAACACGTTTCTGGGACCATGTTGACTATTTGCATGATGGTTCTGTGATCACACTTCAATATCTTAGCAATTTCAAGGGTGCTGCATCCCTCTGAAAGACTTTTTATTTTTTTATTTTTTACAATTGTTGACTTTTTACAGTCAGTTAAGTCTGTTTTTTGGCCCATTTTGCCTGAGGAAAAGAAGCTACCTAATAATTGTGCACATCTTGATATAGAGTGTTGATATCCTTAGGCCACACCCTCCCTCATTACACATATACACATCACCTGATATGTTTAAATCCAATAAGCGTTCAAGTTTATACCACTTGGAGTTGGAAAATATGCATAAAAACGATGATATGGTCAAAATAGTCACTTGCCTAATAATTGTGCACACAGTGTATACCTCTGCACTTAAGCATTCAAATGCCACTCACAGGTGATACAGAGTGAACACCATACTTCTAAAACATGACTGTTTCACTCCAGTACTGTAACTGTTGTATCATCAGTGAGTGTGTAGTAGTGTAACCAGCTTTTGTATATTTTAGATTCCAGTCATATATTGTTTCTTACTGTGAAAATATCAAAAATGTCATTGGGATCTAGATGTGTGGGTGCATGTTTCTGTCAATGATTCAGCTCTTTGCATCAGACACACAGCTCAGACAAGGATTTGGGGATTTGATGTAAACCAATTTTAGCCCTGTTTCATAATAATAATAATAATAATAAACCTTTATTGAGAGAATGACTTGTATTTGCTGTAGCTGTTATACCTTTTCTTTTACACAGCTGAGATACAGTGGCTTAGGAAAGAAGACCCGAAGCTGTGACTGCTTCCACAGTGGCTTCTACCATGTACTGAATTATTGAATACTTTGTAAATGATATTTCAGTTTTTGATTTTTTTTATACATTTGCAGAATTAAAAAAAATGTAATTATGGACTACTGAATTGTAGATTGATTGGGAAAACATGGCAGTTTTATCCATTTAAAATGTAATGTACAACACAAAGTGAAGAGGTCTGAATACTACCTGAAGTGACTGTAATTAACTGAAAGTAATGCCAGAAGTTTCACCGGTGTGGTTGTTGTGTTGATGTTTCAAACAGATACCCCTGTGGATTGTATGGTGGTATATCAACAAAAACACACACTAGCTCTAACTAACTCAGACATCGTCTTTGAAAATGTCTTTCAACAAACTAAATTACAGGAATGTAGCCAGAATCGGCTGTGTTTTCTACTGTCATTAACAACAGCACTCAGTTCCACCTTCATTTCATCTGAAACACGTACAGTAGATATGAAAGGGCTGAAGTGGGTCTCTGCTCAATGATTCAACAGTGCAGTAAAAATGGTTGTTATGAACTGAATTAATGATATATATTGGTATTATCTTGTAAAAAATAAAATATTGTCAGTGCAGTTGCATAAATTAGCTTTGGCTTTTTGCTCAGCAAAGGAATATACACACTAGGGAATTAAGACAATCCTCATGCCAACTGTTGTTTTCTACTTCTTTATTACAAAAGCAGCCAGTGAGCTTACAGAGTCTCTTTAAGTTTCAGAAATTACTGTCTTCACTTTTTTTAGATACCCTCTCTCCTGTTTATCACTTCTACTTTTCCTCCCTATATATAATGAGGGTTTCTTCTCTTATGTTCTGTCTTGTGAGCTATTTTATGATGCTCACAGTCTTTTTTAAAATCCCACATCCCGTTTCTCTTCACCTGGGCTTCCACACTGAGTGGGAGGGATAAAGATTCTTAAAAAAACAAGGCAACCAACAGCGGCAAGCAGACCCCACATTGGTCCAATCTTATTGCCTGAGACAACAGGGCAATCATTACCACTAAGTCTTAACTGTATTTTTCCAGTTTGTTTTGAAATTATGTGAAGAATTCCAGAGGTGCCTAATGCCTTAGAAAAATCATTCTTCAACTCCTATAAAAAAAACTTATTCAAATGGCAAACGCATAAGTTACTCTGTCACACAACAGTAATGTTATCATGAGAAAAACTGTGGAAAAAAGTCAGTAAATCTAACCTGTAAATTTCAGACTGGCAAAATTCTTGTCTAGATAGAGGAACTCTTCTATGATTTTATGAATAGTCAAACCAACTAAGATTTTCTTATTAGCTTTATGCAAAAATGTACGTTTTGCTAATTTCAAGTTAGCTCAACCAAGAGTATCTGACTTTAGGTTTCAGACCTCTTTGGTGCTTATAAACAGGAGCTGTCCTGACTTGAAGTCTTTTGGTTTGAAATAATGAGCTGCTGAGTTCAGTATTTCAAGTTAACTGAACTTGTTTTCTCAAGGTCACTAAATATAACATTAGTTTTTCAAAACTCATAAAACCACACTGGATTATTTTATCTTTATAACCTCAGGCTGAGTTCAGACATGATGTAAATAAGAATATTTATTGAAATGTTGTGATATTCAAAAAGTTATTTTGACATATCCATAGTATTGCGTTATCAAAAGAACAGAAAAAACTGGCAGTTGGCCATTAGGAACACTTCTTGTAACAACAAAAATAAATTAGGCAGGCACCTTTTCCTTCCAGTTAGTCATTGTATTTCATATAAACTTTGAGGGGAGAAAAACTGTTATACTACCTGCATGAAAAGCACATTGATTTTAATTAGATCACTGACAAGACTTTGTTGAAATAAGCCCATTTCCAATATCAGACGGCATCTAAACAGACTAACTACATCTACATGCAAGAATTCACTTCACCACCGGTCCATAGTCAAATTTTTTTGAGTTAGTTAGTGGCTTGTCTGTTTAGATTGAATGTGTGAGGCCAGTTCATTTGACATTACAAACAAAAGTCATAATTAGACCCACACCAATGACAGGCTACATGCAAACATACTGCAGTCACTAAACAAAAATTCAGGCTGTCTGGGGGAAAGTGAAAGCGACTGGAGCAGTGACAACTGATAAGGTGCCTTCACGATAGGCACTGACCACTAAAAGCAAACAGTGCAGCTGTGGAGCTACAGAGACTGAGATATATGAGGTGAAGTTCAACGTATATCCTCTCTGGGTGTGACTGTCTATCAAAATAAAGTAAGTGTTTTGGCACATGAGCACTCAGTGAAAGATCAGAGGTGGGTTATACACCTTTTGAAATGTTTCCATACATTGATTCATTTAAGCCAAAGTCCAGCTGAACAAAAAAAGCAACATCTGTTAAGGCAAAGGTCAAGTAATATTTTAACATGCAATAGATTCATTTCAAGATCACAAGCAAAGCAAGCAAGTATGAGAATACTGAACAAAAACATATGAAAGCTAAACTGATGCTCTGCCAGAATACACAGAAACCAATTCTGTAAAATAAAAACCATGCACTTTGCAAATTTGTTGTTCAGCATACTATGGTTTCTAGCTTGCAGCACTGGAAACACTAAACAATCCTATCTTAAAGGTCCATAAGGCACACATCCTTCACATACAGCTATACTGAAAGTGTTCATACTCTTTTGTCCAACTGCATATTTGCAAGACAGTTCCTGTTCTCAGCAAATCTTTACATTAGCCTATAAACTGTAATCCTTTCTCATTCCTTTTAATAAACTATATGTAAACAAAGTTGAAATGGAATTGTGTATTTTGGCATCAAAAACAAGTGCAAAGCTTTACTGAGCTTGGCTGATAAAACTTTTTATAGCAATCCTCTTGTCTCATTCAAAAAAAAAACAAACATATATGCATTTTGTCATATTAGGTTGAAATGATATGGTGCTTTGAAGTGCTGTCTTCTGCACCACAGAAATGACCTGTCTCCATCTACAGGTGACTGTAAGCTATCACCTGTAACTGTTGTCAGGATAACTCGGCACAGCGGCAGGGTACTGGGGCAGGCTCGGGCCTTGAGCTGTGTGAGCAACAGCGTTGAGCCCTGCTTCTCTTGCTGGTGCACTCTTCCAAACCCCAGTGCTCCACTCTTCCCGAGTGCGCTCGAAACTCCCACCACTGCTGCGGTACAATCTGTGCACCTGATACGTGAAAAGAAAAAGGAAAAAAACTCAAAATGTGCATTTGTGTGCATTTCAATTTCATATGCAAGATGAACAAACCCTGCATTTAAATGTGTGTGTGTGTGCATTTTCAGCATTTGTGTTCACTCACCTTAATGAGGACCAGTACCATTAAAGCAGTCAGCACAGTGAAGAGCAGACATGTGATCAACATCACTATAGCGGAGCCCACATTTTGGCTGAAAAACATCACTGTTGCAATCCAGCCGCTTTGATGTGATGGTGAGATGGAGTAATGGTGTTAGTGTATCACACAGCATATAATTAGCAAAGTGAATTTAATTAATCTATAATCCAAAGTTACTTGTGAGGCATTAAGCAGTGAGGAAACAGGCGCAGTGACAAACAGCCTAATGATGATCAGTGTAACACTGACTGATTGTGGCACATTTTCACAAGTAAACAGTGCTGTTATTGTAAGTAAATGCAAAGATGTTGGACTTTTAAGCAGTTTTAGGAAGAGCATTGTTTTAAATAATACTTAATTAAAAAAAGCCCTTTTTACAGCAACTCTGAAGATTATGACTGAAACCTTCTGTACCCTATTTACATTCAGGATCAATAGGCTGGTGGGTGCAACTCAAAAACAGAAAACAATTTGAAATGAATGCTGACTACTTAATATGGTTATTATGTTGATAACAACCTCATCATGTGTTAATATTTTATTTTTGTATAAATTCTATATTTGAATCATCATCTGAACAGATGTGCAAATGCAAGTGTCTAATGGAAAGCACATTGTCCAAGGCTCCTTGATCATTTGACAAAAATCCTCATGACCAACTTTGTGACAAAAACATCCACACAGTCCTCTAAGCTCGTTTGAATCGACTCACCATGTTCCCCAGCCAGAAATGCCTATAGTCTGGATGAGGGCCAAGACACACTGAAGGAAGAAGATGAAGAAGAAGGCCATGAAGTTGAACGAGCTATCAGCCCTACAAACAACAAGAAAAAGGTACAAAAGGGATGATATAGTATAAAACAAATACAATTACTCTATTTTTGTTCCAATGTTGCTTCTTCCTTCTGGTTGTCTGCACATAGCTCAAACTGGCAACACAATGAAACATGATGCTTTCAACTGAACAAACACTGGAAAATTTTTCCCAGAATGCCATTCTATTATTCTTGCAATATGAAAATGTTTTAATATTCCCAACTAAATCCTGCTGTTATAACATTTCTAGCTGTATGTTTGTGATTCTTTTTTTTGTGTGTGTATTTGTACATACGAAGTCTACTACTTGTGTGTTTAATGTTATATTTTAACCTGTATGTCAGTGGAGATTCTCAGTTATCCAAATCATGGTATATCTGAAGTGCTAAAGTTGGCAGTTGGACTGGCTTCAGTTTTCTTGAAGACATTTCTTCTTTAGAGTTCTGACTGCATTTGGAATCTGTTGCTGTCAACTGTCAACAAATAGCACACTTGAAATGAACTCTGGACCTTTTATCTGCTCATTGTACATACAGGAGCTCACTTCAACCATTGTACATATTACAGAAGAGAGTGATAAGAGTTGTGCATAAGATGGGGTATAGGGATCACACCAATGTAGCTTTCATACAGTCTAAATTGTTAAAATTCTTTGATTTAGTGGAATATAAGACTGCTGTGTTTATGTATAAAGCCAGGAACGACTTAT